CAGACCAGACCAGACCAGACCAGACCAGACCAGACCAGACAGACAGAAAGAAAGAAAGAAGTAAATAAAGAAAGACAGCAGGGCGAGTGCGCGCTTGTGTGCTATGGACGGGCGCGCTCACGCTCCAGAAAGGCGCGGTCAGAGCGCGCTGTGCAAAGAGAAAGACAGAGAAAGAAACACTTAGAGAGAGAGAGAGAGAGAGCAGGGCGCGCGCGTGCTCGTGTGCTATGGACGGCTTACGGGGCTCTTGTCCTCCTCTTGTCCTGTGTGCTGGGCTCTGTGGCTGGGCCTTGTCCTCTTCTTGTCCTCCTCTTGTCCTTGTTTTGGCCGCGCCCCTGAACTCTGTGGCTGGGCTCTGTGGCCCGGCTCTGTGTCCGGGTCTTGTCCTCCTCTTGTCCTTGTCTTGGCCGCGCCCCTGAACTCTGTGGCTGGTCTCTGTGGCCCGGCTTACTGGAGAGGAGTGTGGCCGAACAAATAGCGATGTCAATGCCGACAAAAATTCATTGATGAAGCAGTTTGCTCTTGGGGTGAAAGTACCAAGAAATCGATTTTTGATTGATATTGGTCTAAACGAATCGTTTTGAAGCTGTTTGGGGTCTATGCTTGTATAATTTGTATGGATCGAACTGCGCAGATGTATCTTGGAAAACATGACTTCAACCTGTATCTCTGAGAAACATATAGCGCTTTGCGACGTGTAACCTCGTGGCACGCGCTTGCATTGCCATTTATGTAATACACCAGGTTTCAGCCCTCAGAGGGGCCTGTTTAGTATCCTACAAATAAGCTGTGAAGTTTGCCAGGGTCAACCCCGATTTATCACACAAGGCTAGCTGCTGCCGCAGTGGCTTCAAGCTCTGTCTTCAGCGACTGGCAAGGCTTTGGAACGTGCTGCTCCAACTTCTCTCAATTTATGTAGAAACCTTAGCCAACAGTAAGGTTTCCCCAAAAAGGACCAGACAAACTGTATCAGTGTTGATTTATTGGGAGTTCAGTGTGTGTTTGCTGTCTTGGCTGAAACTGAAACCTGGAGGTGCCAGTTCACAACCCTGGCCATGTCTCATGGGCTGCTTTGTTGCGGCCCTCTGCGGAGGTTTGAGCGAGGTTGGATGTTTTTTGCTTGACGGTTGACCCCGGGGGTTGAAACTTGGTCAACCTTGAATGCTCGAGCATCATGAACTGCAAGCTAGGCACACGGCACAAGTGGATTTTACATTGTATCACGCAAACACAAGGTGATCAACAAGTTCTTTTATTTTGCCTTGGATTGGATGAAGGCCTTGCCTCAGTTGGGCGTACCATCTCCGTTCTCCCCTCAGTGCACCGCAGTGGTCTCTGGATGGTCTGAGCATGTGCTGTCATTCTCAAAAAGCAATTGTGAAGTCGCAGGGAGGCAGAACGATTCTACATCTACAGTACATCATGTAGCCAGTTGTAGAAAACGCACACGGTGTCAAGTCAAGGATGTGGATGCGAGCAGCATTTGCAGTTGGCCTTGCATCCTTCATGATGGAGCTGGCCAATGCTGTCTTCCCTGCAGGTGGATCTTTCCCACGTATGAGGGGGGATTTGCCCAGCTGAAAGTCTTGCTCCTCAACAGAGTTCGGACAGGGAAGGCAGAACTGCCAGAAGCCGGGAAATTTGGTGATGTGATTTTGAGAATCAACGGACGTAAGCAACCTGCAACCTCTGACCTTGTGAGGTGGCGCTATTGCTCTTGCTTTTGTGGTGACATCCTCAGAGAGCTCTCTGTGTCTCACCAAAAACGCTGGAAGTGAATGTTTGCCTTCCAGATTGGCAAAGACATGGAAGCATTCTTGCTGGACTGACCTGGCCCAAGGTGATGCCCGCGCCAGTTCCATGGATTTCGCTGCTCTACACCGGAATGCTTAGCTCCTCGGATAGTTTGAGTGAACGGGAGTAGACATGGTGCATGACTTAGCAGAAGGTGCAAGGCAAGACCAAAGGTGAAGGTTGAAGGTGCTCAAAAGATCACTCCGACACAGCCAAGGCACAAGAACAACAGGATGTGGCCTGCGTTTTTAAAATCACTTTCGAGTATCTTTGAGGTAAACAGGATAGCCTGTTCACCCAACCAATGTGGAGACTTGCAGCATTTCGAATTTTTGAGAGGCTCATCTCTTGTTATCATCTATGGCACCCTGCTCAACAATCTGCAAGAGACCAGGCCAGGGTGCAACGCTAAGTTTGTGCTCTTTATACCGGCGGACTGGAAGATAGAATGCCATGTTGGACTTTCAGGCATGGAACCATTTTGAACTTTTCATAGGGGATGGCGTTTTGGAGGCATTCTAATTGAAACGTGCATTATTACAGGGTTTTTAACCTGGGTCTTTGACATGTCCTAAAGCAGATAAAACAGTGTTAGCAAAGTTTGTTGAACACTGTCCATGATACTGGATTTATGTGTGTAAATGCAATTTCCTGCCCTGATCCAGCTGCCTATTCTCTTGCTTTAATTTGTTTCCTGTTCAACTGTTCCCTTTTCTTTGCCTTTCGCTTTTATTCTGTTTCAGTTTGAATTCCTGTTCACACGACACCCTTACCGCAGGGGCCCCTTTGAGCGTCAAAATAAGTTTTGTTGCGGAGCCCTGTTCATTCAGGGCTCCGGCTACAGCCTAGGCGCCCGGACCCCTCTGTAGGGGTCGCTCGCCCGTGCCCGCGAGCCATTTCGCTGCTGCCAGCAGGCCTTTTCTTCAAGACGGCGCTCGCTCGTGCCAGGCTGCTGGTCAGCCTTTGTTTCTACCTCGCTGCGCACTCCGTAAGTTGTGGCGGTCTCACTACTTTCGCCCCTGCGGTCTCAGATTGCCCGACCGGACAGACCGAGCACATTCTTGACTTTCCGACCCGTCGACCACTGACTTGAAGGTCCTTTGTGCACGGCACCAGCTGCCCGATTCGGGACACCGAGAATCAAACGGACTCACAATTTGAGCATCTGGAGGTCTTTGCCCGTCCTTCATTCCTGATGGCGACTCCAGGACCTTTGCCCTCGGGTGGCATTCCACTTTCTGAGTTCAGGAAAGACGTGCCCCCTGGCTGGCAGCCAGGACTGCCGGACTATCCCTTGAAGACCTACCTGGCAAAGCTGAAGCTGTGGTATAGGATCTATGATGGTCCTGACGAAAGTGTTGGCCCTTTGGTTGCAGGCCGTTTAGTCGGTCAGGCCCAGAAGCTGGCCATGAATCTCCGCCTGATTCGACCAGATGGTCGCTTCGACCATGGAGATGAGGCCTTGGTCAGACTTGCCGTGGACCAGGTTGCAGACCCAGCTGATCCTACTGGCCAGACGATCTTGCAGCACGCCATACCCTCAGGAGTTCAGATGCTGGCCATGCAGCTTCGCGCCGCCTTTGGTCAGAGTGACCAAGAACTCACCACGTCGGCGCTGGAGGCTTTCTTCGAGCATCGAAGAGGGAAGTTGACGTTGCAGGAATACGCCTCCGAATGGGATCTTCGATATGAAGAAGCTCAGGTCCGTGCAGGCCTGGAGATCAACGACATCGCCAAGACCTATTTGTTCTTCCGCAACAGTGGATTGCTGAACAAGTTCATTGAGGATGTGAAACTACAAATCCAGGGAGACATGAGTCGCTTTGCTGAGGCCAAGAGATTGGTCTTGAGGTGGTCCTCGCGTGGAGACACCGCACATCTGTCAAGCGATCTCTGTAACGATGTCACCTATGCCGACGATGGCAACTACCACACTGCCGAGCCCGAGTACCAGGACTTTTCCGAAGACCCTTGGTCTGCCTGGTTTGCTGATGAGGATGAATGGTCTTGGATCTCCTCATGGTCCGAATGGCCAGTGTGGTATGCCGATGAAGAATGGCAATTCGATGACTCAGGCTATACATGGCAGAGTGGCGCTGAAGAGTACTACCTGGGTGATGAGGAGTTCCATGACATCGAATCTCCAGAGCATGACACTGGCGCTGGTGCAACCTCCAACGATGTTGAGGACTACTACAACAAAGGAAAAGGAAACAGCGGTGGCTGCCACATTCGTGGCTCCCGGTGGCACCATGCAGCTCAGTGCCCAGTGAATCAGAAGGGCAGCTCCTCATCAGGCCAGAGTTTCAGCAAAGGCAAGGGTGAACGCAAGGGCAAAGGCTACAACAAGGGCTTTGACAAGGGCAAGAGCAAAGGGAAAGGTAAGAAAGGCCGAAGACCCTTTGGCAAGTCTTATGGCAAGGGCAAGTACAATAAGGGCTTCTATGCAACCACTTGAAGATGACTCCACCAGACAAGACAGAGATTCTGCCGTGGAAGACTGTGTCAACACCTGCAGGAGAAGAACCGTCTGATGAGTCTGCACCTACTTCGGCCAAGCAATTGTCCTTCGCCACTTGCCTCCAGACCTCCGATGGGATGCATGGCAAATCCTCCATCTACCACATGGTGAGAGGACAGAAGAGAAGAGGATTGCTCATTGATCCTGGAGCGGCTGCTGGACTCATCGGCAGTGAAACACTTCGTGACCTCTTGGACGCCTGCTGTGACACTACCAGTTCTGAAGCAATCGCCTGGACTGAGTCCTCAGCAACCATCACAGGAATCAGCGGTCAGCCAGACAAAGCACTTGGTCGTGTACAACTTCGACTACCATTCAAGAACCTGGATGCTGTTTACGCCGCTGATGTGATTGGTCATGAAGGGTCACTATGCCCAGCTCTAGTTGGCAATCCCGCCTTGTGTGAGATGAAGGCTTCACTTCACTCTTGCTGGTCCGACAACAAGGATGGCCTCTTGGTGACCTGGGACACTCGTCAGGAAGACAAGCCACAAATGCATCTGTTCCGAGTGTTTCTCACAGACTCTGGTCACTACCTCCTTCCCTTGGACGAGGATACCAGCATCATGGACCAGTCACACAAGGTTTGCAACTTCTTCCACCACCTCTCTGAAGTGTCGCAAAAGAAGTGGCCTGATCACTCCTACGTCTTCTTGCAAAGAGCAATCAGTGCAGCAAGCCCTGAGCATAAGCGGAGTTGCCATGATGAGTTGGAAGGTTCTTCATGCTCTACAATCTCGGTGCCTTCCAAACCCATTGTGGCCTCAGCAGATTCACCACCGGAGAAGACATCAAGACCAGATCCACGCCAGGATGTACCTCATGTTGAACAACCTTCCAAGCACGTGAGCTTTGCTGAGATCCCTGTCGAGAAAGACCTTTCTCCTCAGAGGACTCCAAGCCTACCTCTACTTGGCGTCTTGCTCCCGGTGAATCGGTAGATCTGCCACTGTATCAAGGAGATGAATTTCCAGAAGAGCTGAGCACCGAAGAGAAGAAGAAGCTACAACAGGACTATCGTGCCATGCCTGAGGAATACTACAGCCAGACGAACCACCGGATGATCGTGCCTCAGTCTTTTGCTCGATGGTTCGCAAAGGCAAAACAGAAGAAAAGCAAATGGCACATTTGGGAATGGTGCTCAGGATCATCTCGTTTGTCTTTGACATGTTGCCTGGCAGGACTACTGGTTGGCTTTCCAGTCGATTATCGATATGGATGGAACCTGGCCAATCCTGACCATCAATAGATGCTGAATGCAGCCTTGTACCATTTCCAACCAGAGGTGCTGATCGCTGAACCAAGGTGCAAATTCTTCAGCGTTTCTTCATCACGCAGAAAATGGTCAGATCTTCTTCGAGATCGAGAATCAGAACGGCCAGCTCTGACTTTCATCCATGAGTCCTTTGCCTACCAGGACCACAACAACCGCGGATACCTCTTCGAGCAACCATGGTGTTCTGCCATGTTCAAAGAGAGTGTGATGATCCGCAACCAAGACCTGAAAGGATGGAGGAAGGCCAAGCGCACAGATCAATGCGCATTTGGAGGTTGATGAACTACGACGACCAGTCCTGAAGGCAACTGGCCTGGAAGCCAACTTCCGACTGAAGTCTTGCATTCGAAGATGCAATGGTCACCATGGTCAAGCTCACACACCACTTCAAGGTTCAAGGCCAATATCAAGGTGTTAATCGCGCCGCAATGGCAGCTGTGTACCCTGCTCGCTTTTGCAAGGCCATTCTGGATGACATCCTCATGTATATCCAGCCGAAGGGACTACTTCGCTCTATGCATCGTGCGACTCGAGACATGGTGCACACCTTCATCCCTGGCGAATGTCGATATGGACGGATTCCAAAAGAAAAGTCCACCGCCAGTGCATCTTCACCTCTAGCAGATCATCGACGAGCAGCACGACATCAAGTACCTCTGCTGCAAGCTGATCGAAGACAGCGTGAACGTCTTTGAAGAAGCTGGTGGTAAGGAGATCAGGTACTGGCTGAAGGATCCCATCCTCCTCTCGGTGATCCGATCTCTCTTCAAGAAGTTCCTCTATGTGCATGGAGTCAACATCACACTTCATCCATTTATGAAGGTCTTTCCAGAGCCCAGCAGATGTGGCTCCCTTGCGCATGATCATCCGAGGAGAGAGCAATAGTGGCATCTTTACTCCATTGAAAATCTTCGTGAATTGTCACCCAACCAGCAGAGAGAACAAATTGATGAAGAGAATTGGATGATCAGTCTCCATGGAAGCTATGAAGCTCCAATGTCTTCGAAAGCACCTGGAACTCCAGCTGCTACGACACCAGCGCCAGGAACACCCAGGCCTAGAGCTGCGCCTGGAACACCTGCGCCAGCTCCTCAGACGCCTGCTCAAGCGGCTGAAGACACTGGAGAAGCTCTTGACAAAGATGATCCTCCATATGAAGAAGTGAGCATGCAAGTTGCGCAAGCGAGGACCATCAAGCCGCCCTACAGTCTGAAGCGTGTCCTGCAGAAGTTGCCGAAAGCAGTCAAAGAAGATCTACCTCTCGCACGACGCCTGTTGCTTGGCCTCCACGAGAAGTTATGGCATGCAACTTCAGCAGACTGCATTAGCCTGCTACAACGAGCTGGTATGCCTCCTGAAGTCACCGACCTTGCAGGTGAAGCAGTTGCATCTTGCGCTGTGTGCCGGCGATACTCACGACTACCAGCAAGACCTCGATCAAAGGTGTCTCTCTCTCGCTGCTCATTCTGGAGATGAAGTTGAGTTTGACATCCTCTTCATTTGGAGCAAGCCATTTGCTCTGATGGTCGATGTGGCCACTCGCTACAAGGTTGCTTTTGAGCTGCCGTCTCGTGAGGCCACCGACATCTTGCAGGGC